CTGTACAATGGGATAATGCTAGTATTGACATCATGGGCTTGAAGGGAAAACTCAGAGAGAATATGCAGGGAGCACAGATGCCCAGCAGAGCACAAGCACTCAATTTGTGTACTATGTTTTCCTCAGACTAAACTGAGAGCCCTGGCACTACATTTCCTTGCTGAAAGAGCAGCTACTTTGGCATCTCTTCACTGGGGGCCAGAGCACACACCCCAGACTGGTTGCCTTATTGAGACCTTACTGGCCACACTCATTCACGCCAGATCTTCCTAGACTTGGGGAGCCTTCTACCTCCTTCCCTTTTGATGATATCTGGAGTCACCTGAGCCATTTCCAGTTTTCCTTCCCTTGGCCCTGCTATGCTGCCCTCGGGAACCCCCCTTCTAAATGAAGGCAAAACTGCCAAGATGGCTTTTTAGGGTGGGCCTCCCCCCATCCAGGGAACCCGGAGTTGATGTACTGAGGAAGGCACACATGATCCCTGTGTGCTCCCAAGGCTGCTCCTCTTTCCTCCTGACCTCTTAGGAGCCAGGACCCAACACTGGCTGCTCAATGGAATCACCTGGGAGTGAACTTACTTAAACAAGAGGTTTTTTTTTCAAAAGTCAAGGACTGTACCCCAGATCCATTAAATCAGAAATTCTGGGGTGGAGCCCAAGCATCAGAATTTTTTAAAAGCTCCCCAGGTGACTCCAGAGTGCATCCCTAAAGGTGGAAACTCCCAGTCTAACAATTCCACTTGCGGCAATGCTGCTTACAAAGGCAACTGTGTCTACTAACACAACCAAGCTCAGGCTGCAAGGACCAGCAGTGCACACAAAGGAGCACCTCCCTCCGACGGTTCTCAACACCCTGTCTGTGGTATCGCTTTTGCTATTTCTGTCCAGCAGGACAGGGTGACAATAACTTTGGTCTTTTAAGAGTTATGGAGAGATCCTCTGTGTACAGAAACTCCTATGTGGTGTTGCACAACACTATAAATTCTGTTTAAGCTGAAGCTAAATTTTAGCTTCCTCCCTGAATAATTTATTCCTCAAACAATGAATGGTGACACCGGGGGGGGGGGGGGTCATTTGGGGG